GGGGATATAATACCGCCTCGTGCCTGGACTTGCAGGGAGGGTTCTTTAAGGTGTTGCAGATGCTAGCACAGTAACCAGTGTGAACACTGACCAGTACTCAGTAAGTTGTATATATGTATGGACACGTCCCAACCAACAGAGGTAGAGCTCAGACTCAACATTTATACAGTCCCATCAGTTATGGCTGCTCAACCCCAGCCAAGAGAAAGAGGCCACATGGCCAGTGGTCAGTGGGACCACCCATTGTCCTGCACACAGAAGGGACCACAGAAAGCAGAGGGCCTGGTTACCTCCACACAGGGAGACAGACCCCTGTGTTCTGAATACTAATGCAATGGTGGGAACTGGCTAATGCCACCATCGAACCATGCCTGTGCTCTCCCAAAACAGAACAATGGGCCTCAAAAGACAGAGTAGCCCTGAGATGGCCCCACAGGGAGATGGCTCTGGCCTCTGCACACTGAGGTAAAATGCCAGGACACCCAATCCCAGAATGCTGAAGAATGCCAAGGCTGGAACTGACTGACTGGGTGGCTTAGTCCTGACCATGAGAACTACCAGGGGCCGGACAATGGGCACTGCGAGCGCAACTGCCTGCTCTGTAGTGCAGACCTCACCATCTGGGTAACGAGCACACAGGCCTCCCCCTCACGGTTATGCAGACAGTTTTAAGCAGCTGATATCCGCTTATACTCCAAAAAGCAATGGCACTTGCTAAGCTCACACCAACAAAGCCACTGCTATACATTACCTGACCAGAAGCAGGGAGAGACCTTGACCACCACTGCAGAGATAACATTTATAGCCGGAGCATTCAAAACTCTCCAGCTCCTCACATGCTGACTCAGAGCACTCCAAGGATGTTTGAGTCAAGAAGACTGGCAAGAGGATGTGGGACCCTACAGGTAAGGCCTACAGGAAGGGTGAGGCCTGTACTCAAAGGTTGCCACCAGCCCATAGACACCCTGATGCAAAGGTGAAATAGAAGTGAAAAGAGGCCCTTATCGAGATAGTGACTGCCATGTGCTGGAACAGGCCCCTTGAATACACTATTCATGCTAGGATATCTGCAATGTGCATGGCACCCTTCTATAGGTGTTAAGACCTTGTATGTGCAAATGTACTGGCAGCCCTACTGTCCACTGGGAATGTGGTGTCTAACAAAGTCCTCCTTTGCAGATATCAGCCACCAAGATGCTAACCCTCTGGGCTCTGGCCATCACACTGGCTGTCCAAGTAGAAGCACTTGACCTGCTGACCCCACCTTCACTGCTGGGAAAACTACCTGTCAAACGACCCCTTCTACAATCTGTACAGTTCCGCAGATATCCCCCACCTCCACAAGGCTCTGCATCCATAAAAAATCTACCTGGGACTCCAAATCCTAGCTGTTCCCCAGTGGCCAAGTACTTCCTGTCTAGCAGCAAACTCGATGACTGTAAGTAAGAACTATTTCACGTACACACCTTTGACTTTCACCACCTCACGTGCGCTTCTCATTTCCAACACTACTTAAACCTTTTTAACAAGTGGTTCTCAAAGAGGAGGAGGTATCAGAATCACCTCGGAAGCTTATTAGCAAAGCATCTGCCTGAGGCCTGCTCCCAGGCATTCTGCTGTAGCAGAACCACAGTTGTACTGGTTTTCTAATAGGATCAAGACGATGCTGAGGCTGCTTGTCCACAGTCCCCACATTGGGTAGGACATGGCAAAGCAAGCTTGGAGAAGGGAGCTCTTGGATCCAGCAACCTCTCCATATAAAAGCCTGCCTTTTATATGTCTCTTAGCACCTGAACACTGCTAGGAAGTCTCACAGCTTCTCAATGCTGGGCGCCAGAGCTCAGCCCAGGCACCTATGGGTGCTTAAAGCATCAATCTGCTTGACCAAGAGCCAGAAAATAAGAAATCTTGGTCCAGCTGCAAACCCCCTGACTGACCAGATTCCTGCTCCCCAAGCTCCTCTATCGCCCACTCCCTGGGCCTCAGCTTCCTGCTCAAGGAGATGTGGACTTTCATCCTCCTGCAGTCCCCCAGGGCCCAAAGGCAGAGGAGTCAGGGATTGCAGGACAGAGAACAGGGCTCATCATCAAACACGGGCCAGCAGGAATGTCCTCATGGCGACATTGGCCATGTCCTATCGGCCCCGCATCATGCCTGGGGCAGCCTCCCAGTGTGACAGGACAGGGGGACAGGGAGAAACTCAGCACCTGCCTACTGATCACAGCTCACCCACCACAGCTTTACCTCTAGGAACATGTGCTCCGCTCTTCTGACCATCCTGCCTTATTACAAAATACTCCAAATATACAGAAAAGGTCAGACAGTGGTACAAAGGACAGCTGTGTACCCATCAAGCAGTATTTGGTGGTGGTGGTGGTGGTGGTGGTGGTGGTGGCGGCGAACTTCACTGTCAAACATACAACAACCAAGACATACACAGCAAACACCTTTGTACCCAACATCTACATTAGGAATAAAATCAGTGCTGAAGGCCCAGGACTCCTACTGGGCTACACATCCTTCCCTCATCTCTCCCTCCCCTCCAGAAGGGGCCCTGGGCCTGAAAACGTTTCCCACCCCATTCTTTATATTTTACAACACACACTACTCCTTCTCAATCTAAAAATTTGCACTAAACGTCATCAAGTTTCCCCAAAGGCGGCCTGCTTGCATTGTCTCTCATACTTACGTCTCTGAGGTGATTCATCCATGTTCTGATGAGAAATATTTGCCCATTCAACTTCCCTGACATAGTCTTCCTGATAAATTCTCCACGATTTACACATCAACTGTGTTTTGTCCAACGGTGTGCTGCTCTGAGCAATGCTGGCCAAAACGCTCTTGTGCAGGTCTTGAGGTGCACACGTGCAAGAGATTCTCTAGGGCATACACCGGATGGAGGTGCATCCACATCACTCCACACAGGCAAAGGCCCTCCATCTGCAGAGCCCTGGGCATGGGAAGAGCAGCAAGGCTCCAAAGCCACGGCCTAGAAGCTTCGCTGGGGCTGGTACTAGCCGGCTTCTTTCTCCTGCTACTCTACTGGGCCAAGAATCTTGTCCCTCAGTCCAATTCACCTGCATGCTAGGCAGCCAAGGTTGACAGTCATCCAGATGTGACAGCCCTTCTGAGTTCCTTCCTCCAGCCATCAAGAGCATCATGATAGGAAAGGCCCTTGTGACGTCACAGCTCTGCTACTTGGTCTTGACCCTCCTTCCCTTCCCACCATCTTCTGAGATCCCAGTCCTCCTTCACTTGCTTCTCTCCAGTGTGGAGGCAAACCCATGGTTAGCGCCTCCTCCACCCTGATGACAACAGTGCTGCGGGGGGTGAGAGCTGCCGCAGGACGTCTAGTAGAGGCAGCTAGTCAAAGGTGGCAGGACCTCTCATGACCCCCAAGGGAAAGGGAGGCCTACAGAAGGGAAGGGACTTGCACAGGCTCACCCAGATGGAGCACAGAAACTCCAGAGCTCCCAGCTCCACCAGCTCTCCCCTCAGCTGCCTCCTGCCCTCCTCAGCACTTCAAATGGCAATCACTCACTTCCTCCTGCACCCAGTGGCCCACACGGTAGGTTCTCTCAGGCACCCATGGGCAGCTGCAGAGACAGGGGCTCAGGAGAGAGAAGACCCTGCCTCAGGACACTCGGATTTCAAGGGGTAGATCCTAGTTATATTCACTTCCAGGCTACTGGGCTCATTCCCTGTCTAAGTCACTTTGGAGTAACATACTCAAACCAGGCTAGCCTCAGGGAGGTGCTAATGAATATTACCTCTTAGCAAGGCACTAGTTTATTTCTGTCTCCAGGCTAGCCTCAGGGTGAGCAGAAGCAGGGATTGATGTGTCTGGAGGCAGGATATACGGTGCCCCACAATTCGTTGGTGCTGGCTCTCCAGCTGGGAAGTTTCCTCTGGCTGAACCAGCTGGGCAGCTGATGGAGAAATGTGTCTCTTCACCATTTTCAGATCTGAATGCCACCCTGCCCCCAAAGATTGAGAAGATGCTGATGTGTGAGGAATTGGATCTCGCTGGCGTGCTTGGGACCGTGTTAGAAACAGTGTCCAACTTGGACCTGCTGTCTCTGTTAGACCTCTCTTCCGCCCTCAATATCCTCGGTGACAGTGGCCTTAGTAGTGGCCTTAGTGGTGTCCTGGCCAAGGGGAGCAACAGCAAGTCCTCAAAGCTGCCATTGCCATTGCCATTGCCATCGCTCTCAAAAGCCACTGGTGCTGTCAGTAGCCTGTTACCCTTGGCCCAAGGGGCCCTGGGCAGCCTACTACCCAACACTCTAGAGACGGATCCTGGGAAAAAAGCTGACTCTGACTTAACCTCTCTCTCAAATCGCCCCCTAAGTGGTGTGCTCAGCACGGTCGGCGAGCTCACAGAACCGGCCAACAATGTACTGAACAGTGTGGTGCCTGGTGGCCTCAATGATGCGCTCTCGGGCCTGCTGGGAAATCTTAACGTGAAAGATCTCTTGATAGGGTAAGTGCTTCCTCGGCCCGAAGGTATGGCACAGAGAAAAGTGGTGTTTCGGGATACTAAAGTTCATGGAAAAGGGACAACCATGTTTTCAAAAGCAATATTCCAGCTCTGTGCTAAAAGTGTGCCCTTTGGGGAAAGAGGAAAGGATTTCCTGAGCTTAGGGAGCTGGGCGGGCACGGCACTGGGGAGTCCGGGGAACAGAAGCTTTGGGAGGTTGTTAACTGGCTGCTTCAACGGCATTTCTCCTGCTGCTCAGGCTGATTAATTGAGCCAGCACTGACCCTGATGCTGTCACTTTGCAGATTAGAGGTTCAAAAAGCAACTGTGGAGGACATGATGTTGACCATGACAGACAATGATGAGATCCTCGCCCAAGCCTCGACTAAGGTCTCCATAGGTGGAAAAGGGTGAGCCTGTCTCCAAATCAGTCAACTAGGTGCCCTAGACCAGCTCCTTCATATCCAGTGTCCAAGGGCCAGGCACGGACAACACAGAGTAAGGCACGATGTCTGAGGATGGGGCAAATTCGGCACCAGGCTCAGCTGCCCCTCTACTCAAGCCCAGAGGACCAAGGCGGGACAATGACCCCATGGAGCCCCATCCTCAAACAGAGTAAACAAAGCCAGAAACCCAGATTCCTTGTCAAATATGCTCATTTATACGGATGGCCAACAGAGAGAAAAGGCAGAGTGTATCTGGTACTGACTGCACTGGTAGTATGGGACATGTACCTTCCAAACAATCTGCACTCTCCAAAGAGAAGCAGCCCACTCTTACAAACACTGTCCATTCCAGGCAGTTCGGGGAGACAGAGATGTTGAATAGCACTCAGGAAGCTACCACTTTAAACATGCACGCACAAACACGTTCATCCATCCACCCAACAGGTAGCTAATAAACGCTCCTTTGTACCAGATGCCATGCTGGGCACAGAGGGAAGACTAAAAGTGGTCCCTGTCCTCGCTGACAGTCAACATGTGGGGGAGGAACAGGTTCAGATTATAGGCCCAGGACGCACAGGAAGATGTGAGGGGGGGAGGAACCCACACTGGGGACAGAGGACTTCTTGGACTAACACATACAGCATTGATACCTCTCACTGACTGAGCTCCACCCAGGCACTTAACTGAGGCACACTCACTTCTGGAAGCCTCCTGACAACCTCATCAAGAAAGCAGTCCTATCTCAAGTTTAGAAAACCAGTTGAGGGACGGGGTGGAACGGGTCATTGGGGAGAAAAAGGGACATCTGTAATATTTTAAACAAACATAAAATTTTTTAAAATAATAAAAAAGAGGAAAAAAAAGAAAACCAATTGAGACCAGTAACCTGGTTATAAACCTGGCTCAAAGTCACACAGCTGAAATATGGCAGTGACAGCATTTGAATCCAGCATCCTGCCTCCAGAGCCCATGTGTGTGACCAATACAATTAGCACTGGTAGGAAGAGCCATTCATCTTCTCCAGAACATCTGATGTTAGTATGGCCAGGCTCTGGTAAATGGGGGGTTTTCTTATGCTGTCACCCACACAACAGACAGCTGGGGTGCTGGGCACAAAAGTGAACCTGTAATGGGTGTCTAGTTACAAGGTAGCCTGGTGCCTCCAGCAAAAAAAAGACTCCCTGAAGTTTGGTCACGACAGGGACTTGATAAGGTCTATGGAATGCCTGCCATGAACCAGCCTCTGAATCCTGTGTACAGGGCATGGTCACCTTGGGCCATGCTCATTGGAAAGCACCAAACTTTCCCTCTCTCCAATAACCTGGACAAATCATGAGGCTGACTCCAAAACAGCCTATCACCTTGGCTGAGCAACATCTTGCAGCCAGGTCTGGTTTCACCTGTATCTTGCTCTCCACAGCCTAGCAGGACCTGTAATCACCCTACTGGGATTTCAAGTGAGTGCGGATGTGACTCTGAAAATTGATATTTCCACAAATGACACCCAATGCGTCAGCCTCCAAGTCCAGGACAAAGACATCAAGGCCAAGAAAGTGTACCTTCAGTTGGTGAAGACGTACGTGAGACCATTTTTCTCATTTTCTGGATCAATGGGCCTGTGTGCCAGAATGTCCCCACTGGTACACGGGGGGGGACCCTCACAGATTAGCTCAGCCAACCTAGTGGTTTCAATGATCAATAAACAGAGCCCAGAGAGGGGTCTCTGCTTAAGAACAGCCCATTATGTTTGAGAACAACCTTCCCTCACTTGGCCTGCTTCTACCTACTAAGCACACTTTTGAATTTTGTTCTTGTTTTTGGCATAGCAATGCATTCACCTAGATCAAAATTCAAAAGATACAGAAAGCCATACATTGAAGTCTCCTGCCCACCCATGTACACCAGCTGGCTATATACTCCCTAGAAGTAACCCATGAATCCAGTCCCTTTTGCTGCCTTTCAGAGATATTATTTGCATTGCCAGCAAATATGCATGAACACACACACACTGAAATGGGCAGACAGTATAGACGCCTTTTCACTCCAATTGTTTCACGTCAAAAACTGTGTCTGAAATTAGTTGCATCAGAAAATAGCTTCTTCTTATGTTAAATCTACCTAGAACTCCATTATGAACATGCACTATAATTTACTTAACCAGTCCCTTATCAAAGAATAGTGTTTTTTTCCAATTATTAACTTTGTGCCCAACTCCAATTACTAAGGCCCCACACACATCTGCTCACCAAAGTGCACACTGTTTGAAGGATAAACTCCTCCATGTGGGATGCTGGGTCAGATGTCTGGCCTTTGGTAATTTTCCCAGGTATCCTTGCATCTCCCTTCATGACTCTAACTGAAGATGAAAGGGCTCAGGGGGTTGCAAATTTTAAGCAGCAGGACATCACTGCAGCTGTATCATCAATGGATGGGGTATCTCCAATGTTGGGCAAAATCCAGAAATGCAAAATCACACAGCTCTCCACATGTATCTTTCCCAGGGTCACAGATACTTTGCCTCTCCCTCTCCCTCTGCCCTTGGATGACATCATTCCTCAACTGCTGACAGTTAGCATGAAAGAGGAAGTAAGTCAGAGGAAAGGGGAGGGCACCACCGAAAAAGACTATGTTGCTGGGGGGAAGGCAGGAAGAAGCCCTTTCCTCAGATATGGCCTGATGCTGGGAGACAAGAGGGAAGGACACATCGGCCTTCAGGGGTCCAGGGGCTAAGGGATGCAACATGCCCTCTGGCACAAAAGGCCTCAGCAGCAGGATAGGACAATGCCCCAGGCTGGGGAGGGACAGGATGAGTTCTGCCAAAAAGAAGCCCAGGAAATAGAAGAGAGAGAAGGGAAGGAGGGCAGGGGAAAAGGGGAAGAGGAAGCAGGGTGAGGAGACGGGCGGCCTGCTGCATTTCCTCTGCAAAGCTAACTGGTGGTTAATTCACAGATGAAAGAATCCAAATCATGTGACATTGATCTCAGTGATTTCACCGAATGCAAGAACTGTGAGTACAAACACCTCACTTCCCTGGAGCCGCCCAGCTCAATGCAGGGAGATGCCCACACATCCTTAGGAATCCTGTTGGGTGACAGACACAAGAGGAGGGGCTGAGCTGCACCCTGAGTACCTCCAAGCACCCAACCAACTCCTCAGCACATGAAATGTGGCAGCTTACCTGCTTCTCCAAATTACTGAGACTCACTATCCAGGCCATAAACGGGACAAAATGCCCTGTAGGAGTTTCAGTAGGATCTCCCCAGGCCCAAGATGGTCTGCAAAGTACAAATGTGCATGGAGCCTGAGCAAGGAGCAGGCCCAGGCCCTCACCCCAGGGAGGCTGAGAGGCAGAAATTCCCTCCAATGTCTCCATATATATCCAAGGTGTGGGATGACAGGACTTTGTGAGGTGGCTGCCATCAAGACAGCCTAAGCAGGAAATTGGTGACATCTGTCATGTCGCAAAGTAGACAAAATCTGGGAACTGGGCAGCAAGACTTTCCCTCCCCTGGAGGTTTTGGCACATCGGGGCCGGGCTGCATTCTCACAGCGCCTTCCTCCCTGCAGCTTCCTCCTGGACTCATGTAAAGAAGCCAGTGTGGCACCAGCTTTTTGCCTGGGATCGAGGAAAAGGAAGGTGTCACACTGGCCCCCCCATCTGGAGGGCAGAGCCAGGCAGACAACCCAAGGCACAACACCTGTTGGGGAGCTGCCGGGTCCCTCTATGTTTTCTCTTTCCTCTCTCCTGCAGCTACGTCTGGCTTGTTCAACTACGAAGTTAAAAGCCTCCAGCTGTCTGAAAGAGGTCTTTCCATCTTCTACTGTGTAAGTGCTCTTTCTTACTAGGATAAATTCCGCAGGGAAGCTGGAAACATCTTTGACCTCACAAAATATGCTCCAATGGCATGACAAACCAGCCTTCATCCCCTCTCAGACCTTGACCATGGGGTGAATCTCCTGGGCTTCTCCCGCAACCCCAGAGCATCTGCCTTGGGGATCAGCCATGTTTTCGCTTCCATTGAGGTCCAATGTACAATGCCTGGCAGGCATCCCAACAATGGCAACCATTTTTGACGAGCAGGATGTGGCAAGCACAGGTCTAGACACTCAATGGAAAATACACAAGAAAACAAAAAGGGCCAACTCGCTCCACCCACCATCTCCATCGCCTGGGGATGCGAAATTTAGGCAAGGTGTTTTTGACCCACTTAATTCCACTTCTGGGAATCCATCTGTACAAACATCCTAAGTGCATATATATTTAAGGACAAAGAAATAGAAATACTGACAATGAGAAAAGCAGAAAAACCTAGAAAGGAACAAAAAGAAAATAGTTGGGCCAAATAAGAGATCATTAGAAATTGTTGTTGTTGTTAATCCTCACCTGAGGGTATTTTTTCCATTGATTTTTAGAGAGAGTCGGGGGGGTTAGAAACATTGATGTGAGAGATTGCCTCCCACATGCACCCCGACTGGGACTGGGGATCAACCTACAACCCAAATACATGCCCTTGACCGGGAATCAAACCCGTAATCCTTTGGTGAGTGGGCCAATGCTCTAACCGCTGAACCACACTGGCCAGGACTGAAATCATTAGAAATTTTTCAAAAATTGTAATGATATACAGAAATGCTTATGAAGGTACTGTTAATTTTTTTAAGTAAAATTAAAATGATACTAGTTATGACCCAAAAAAAAAGGAGAAATACCAGTAATGTCACCCACAATCCTTTTTCCCTTCTTCATACTTCTCTGAACTTTTCAAATTTCCTGCCATGTGGAGTTTGAATTTTATAAGCAGAGGAGAATATGCCTATGAAATGCAATTATTCAATGGAGGCCAGAATATCTATTAAAAGGTTTCATAGACAAGATGGGTCTTGAGCTTGACAAGGAGGTACTTTCAGGTTGGAAGAATATGTGAAAACAAGTAGGAACTGCCCGGCTGGTGTTGCTCAGTGGTTAAAGCATTGGCCCACTCACCAAAGGGTCAAAGGTTCAATTCCTGGTCAAAGGGCATATACCTGGGTTGCAGGTTCTATCCCCAGTCCTGGCCGGGGTACATGTGGGAGGCAACCAACAGATGTGTCCCTCTTACATCAATGTTTCTCTCCCCCTCTCTGTTTCTCTCTCTCCCTCCCTCCCTTCCACTCTCTCTAAAAATCAATGGAAGAAGTATCCTCCACTGAGGATTAACAAAACAAAAACAAAAAAAGGTAGAAACTATGAGCTATGTATGAAAGCATACATATACACACACACATTACTTGAAGCAACGTAAATGGGGGGATTTACGTGAAAAAATGAGGATGTGTGGCTTCTGTTGGAAAATCAGAGGTCTGGGGCCTGACCCTGTATCAGGGCTAACCAGCTGACAAAAGGCAGTGCTTCCTCCTTTACAGGGACATCCTGCTCTCCAGTCTCCACAAGCCCTACCACTCCCCACAGCCCCTCAACACAGAGGCTGGGAGGTCTGCTGTTCGTCTTCATGCTCATCCACTGCAGTGCTCACCTGGAGCCACCTCAGTCCTCAACCTCTCAGCTGGGCCTCCAGAGGCACTGAAATTCATGTTCGTGTCATATGATGACACGATGATGTTCTGTTTTTCTCTCTCTAGGCCTCCTTTAATGGAAAAGTCCTTCTGCCTAGAAGTCCCCTTCCTCCAGATCCTAACAATGCCAACATCTCCGTAACTATGTCTAGCACAATGCTCAGGGAAATCATCACTCTCAGTGCCAAAGAGAGCTCCATCCAGGTAAGCTTCTTCCACGTGGCCCCTGGGATCACTCTCCTCTTTGCTAGCCTATCAACCTCTAAGTGTGTGAAAGTAAAAATGGGTTCTGGAACATTCTTTGAGAGACAAATATGAGGAAGTGGGTTACATATTTTCCCCTGTGATTGTGTAAGTAAATCCATGTTTACTTCAGGGAAAGCAGAGAGCAAGGGCACTGGACAAATGCTTTCTGACTGCCTTCTGTGTGCCCATTGTCTTTACATAATGGCATTTCGCCCTCACAACAGGTCTGAGAAGTGGGGGTTCTTACTCTCATGTGGCAGATGACCAGCATGAGAGAAGCAACTTACCAACAGTCACAGCCTGAGCAAGGGAGTGGGTTTATCTACACACAGTCAGTAGTTACGACAACGTAATAATCACCGAGTACTGTCCAGGTGCCAGGCTCTGCTTCAAGCAATGCACAACGTATTCTTAACAAAGTCTCCCAAAACAATCAAGTACAGCACAGTCTGCCACTAGAGCACAGAACAAAACGGGCTTTAAACTGAATGAGAAGTAATAGAAAAGTAACATTTTACGTGTTATATGTATCAGTGTCCTTCCAAGAAAGAAAATTATATAAAAGGCAAGATCTGGAATTAGACTCTGCCTGTGTGGTTACATCCGACAGGTCAACACCCAGCTAGGTGACTAACTCATACTGCAGGATCAACACATATTTGAGTAAGCGAATGGAATGAAGCATGGGTGTTTCACAATGCAGCATTCTACAGCCCTCCTTCCTCCCCTCTCCACACTCTAAATGACGACTTCCTCGTGACAGATGAATGACCTCAGTGCGTATATCACCAAAGTGCTCTACTCCAGCCTGCCAGACAACAAAGTCCAAGCCACCTACTGGGTCGGCGTGAATAAGTATAATGAGAGCTTCGCCCAAGGGCAAACGGTGAGCGCTGAGTAATAAGAAGTCAGGATTCAGTTGCGAGGAGGAACTAGGAGTAGAGGTTACAGGGGGGGAAAAGTGTTCAGTGGGGGCCAAGTGCCTGGGTAACCCTAAGACAAGGGGGATCAACCAGGCCGGTGGGCTGGGCCGCCAGGGGAGATAAACAGGTTGTCTCCTGAGATCAGGTAGTCTCCACTCTAGTTCTGACCTTGTTGGTCATATCACAATATGACATATTAGCTGAGTAGCCTGGTCAAGGCATTATTTTTAACTTGTTCGTTTTATATTAATGCAGAAGATACTCGTCTCCTATGTATGCAAGATCTTAGAAGACAAATTGGTATCAAACATCAACATTGAAAGGTACTGTCCGTAATGGCAACTCCTCTTGGCATCTGTCAAACAGGAAGCAATACCAAGAACCCTAGTCAAAGCCCATGAGAAGAATCACGGACAAGACCCTTGGGAAATACTTGGATAATTACAGGGAACTCAGAACAAAGTTTTACTTACATGCTGCATTCACCTTGAATTTGCTCTTTCTGTATTTGAAAATTTATAAGAGACTTTAATAAGTAACTGAGCTAATACTTGAACTCTATTTTAGAATTAGTTAACATTTTTTATTTGAAAATAATTTTTCTTTGTACTTTGTTTCCTGACAGCTTTGAACACAGCATGATACCCCCTGACTCTGTAAGTTGATTAAATTTTCAAAATATTTACCTATGACGTGTGAGAATGTTCAAAGGGTAGGCAGCATGGAATCATAGGCATGAGGAGGAGGGGAGTGCAAAGGAAGGAGGGTACTTAGAGCACCAGCAGGGGGGCCAAATCCGGGAGGAGCTTGGATAGGACACAAAAGAGGAAGCGTTCAGCAACCACCAGTCCTCCCCAGTTCTGAATTCAGTGTTTGTCCTGAGGGCACATAGTTTCACAGCTGTGCTTAAAGCAGTGTCTTGAACATAACAAGAACCCAATAAACATTTGTTGGGAGCTGCCTAAGGCATTGAAACCTACAGAAGGGTCTTTGAAAATCCCCAAAGAATTAGAGGTCTGAGAGAGAGTGAAATCCACCTCCCTACATAGCCTCATCCATGTACAGAGGCGCCCAAGACTGCTTCCCCTGAAGTGAGGACTAGCTGGGGGACTAGCAGATTTCCTGATAAAAATGTGCCTCCCGTCTCTTCCAGATGGACGAGCTAAACAATGTGATGTCTGCAGTCATGACGAAATTTATATCTACCATCATTGGTATGTGGAATTAATAACACGAATATCTAGAGGAGTCAGTGTCACAAGCAGTGTGCAAGGGTGTGAAGCCACACCACAGGATGTGTCATGGCAGTGAGCTCGGTACCATCAGACCGCGGTCTGGAGCAAAAGGGCCTCTTTGTTTTTAGATAGGGGCTTCAGCATCCTGACGTGAAAAAAAAATGAAAACCAATGCAAAAATGCTTCTTCTACGGGCCCAGATGAAATCCAGCCCACAGGCATCTTCATACAACAGCACTGTGCTGCTTAGAGGGAAGACAGATGGACCCGGGTCACAAGTCAAACAGATGAAACAAGGGTTTGGGAAATTCAGTCTAAAGTCATAGCCTTTACAACCATGGAGAGATGATGGTGCATAACACCACCTGTTCATATTTATGATGAACTCCAATGGGGTTTGATGTAGTACAAAGGGAACCAAAACAGCAAGGCCTAATTCTTCTGGTTTCTTAAGATAGTGAGGGCAGACATGCCAACATATCTCTTGGTATCAATTCCTTGTGCGTAGAATATTTACCAGATTTCCTGTTAGTTCTAGGGTCTCTTCTGATCCCTCTGAAGTCATCACACCCACACAATGTCTTACTCAAATCTCTCTGTTGAATGGGCAGGGAGTGATTTCTCCTAGAGCCATACACTGCCCAGAGATTTCCTCCAGGTGACTGTGGATAAAACAACCCAGCCCTGTCCTTGTTTTTCTCAACTCACATAGAATGCTCCTTCTTTATTCCAGAAATGTCCAGTCTATGGAATACTCCACCAGGAATAACCTCGAATCCTCTAAACAATGCCAAGGCTGAACTACTTAAATCGGTAAGAGAGAAAAAAATACAAATATTTTCCTTTTACACCAAAGCCCGCTCTGCGTGTCAATCTTCAGAGGGCTGGATGGGGCCAGTGGGTCCTGGCATCGCGGGCAGCTCCAAGCTGCCCCAAGAGCTCCATCCCAACTCCCAACTCTTTCCTAGACAGATTCACTGCCTAATTCCCTTTATTCACCATACGAGTCCTAACACTGAGACGCTCTTGATCTTATTATCAAATAACCTGTCTACTGTCCTCATGTGGGCTCCTACTTAGCTGGATATGCCTCGATCATCTCTTTGGAAACATACCCACTACATATGCCTGACTCGTCTACACTGCCACCATCAGTATGCTGGAGCCTCTCATTCTCTGCTACCCTGACAAAAACATCCCCCTTCTTTCCATCTACCTACCTATGCCCAAAGGAAATTTGAAGAAAAACTTGCTTCCTAAAAATCGGTTAAAAGAATGAGATTTTTATTTAAATTTGACATCAGGAAAATGATGAGGGTGAAACTAGGAAAGATATATGAGACAGTAAACAAGTTTAAAATCTCTATCACCCTTAGATGTGCCATTCTTAATATATATGCTTAATGAGAATGAGACCCGACAAAAAAATACCAACTTTTTCATGTTGGCTCAAGCCTCAGAAGTTGTACATTCCATTTTCACTTAACCCCCAAAGTCCAGTATCTGTGGCCAATCAGTTACTAAAGTGGAACCCTGGCCTGTGTGGCTCAGTTGGCTGAGCACTGTCCCATGCACCAAAAGGTTGCCAGTTCAATTTCCGGTCAGGGTACACACATGTCCAGCTTGCAGACTCCATCCCTGGCAGGTAGGAGGCACGCAGGATGCAGCCGATTCACATTTCCCTCTCTCTTTCTCTCTCCCTCTCTCCATTCCTCTCTCTCTAAAATAGATAAAAACATATTTTTTTTAAATCAATAGAGTGGAGAGTTGGTGACATCAGTATTTGCCTCAGCATTGGGGTCCTACACTCCATACCTCTGAGTGGCCTTGGACACATTACTTAGCCTCCCTACGTCAGTCAGCCTTGATTCAAGGGACTGGATCAGATGAATGCCAACTGTATTTCACCTACAAGTGACAGAAAGTGCTACACAAACTGGTTTAACAACAGCAATAAAATTGCCAGTTCTGAGCATTCAGAGACGGTGTTAGCTTCAGCAGTGGCCCGGTTCCGGCCCAAATGATGACAGCAGGATCCATCTCTTGGCTCTACCACTTCTGGGTAGGCTCTATTTTGGTTCCACGTGGAGTCCCCCACCTACCAGGAGTTTCACCACCCATTTCTTTCTCAAATAGCTCAAATGACAATCACCCAGAAATGACCTCCAGGGCTCCCACTGGCCTGACTTGTCCCGTCCCCACCCTTAGGGCCAGTGCTGTGGTAGGGAGACGGGGTGCACTGGCTGGCACAGCCGGTGCCTGCAGCCAGCTTATAGATTAAGAGTGTAATTAGTTATGTTTTATCTCCCCACAGAGAGACCTTCAGGCAGCAAACTAAATCCAGCACACGTAATGCCAGAGAATTTTCGAGAATGAAAGCACTCTGAAACTTCTCTGAAGAAATATGGAGCCAAGGACATCCTTGTGATTAAGGAGCCAAGTTGAATGGTGTTCTGGACATGTCAACTATTCTTTGGAATTTCACCAATGTTACCTTGAATTAACAAGTGCAAGAAAATCAGGAATGGGGTTTGGGGCACTTTGTAATCATCTCTTTAATAATTATCTTGTTTTCATGCAGAAAATGACTCACTTGTCTTCAATTTCTACAATATAGGAGTTTCATTGTATGTTTATGATAAGTAAAAGCACTACTTACTAGGGACAAAAAAATTAATAATATGAATGATGAGGCAACAAAACCCAGGATTAATTTATCTAGGGCACTAGTAGACAATCAGGACAACGGTTAAGACTCTGTCCCCATGTCTCTGCCCTCCCCTCTCCAACTCCAAGTGCTTTCGTTTGCCCATTGGCCCAACATGAATATCACACGGGGGCTAGAATCCAACCTCCCATCATCACAGGATACACATCGAGAGGCACATTCCAAAGGCCAAACGCTACATAGAACAGAGCAGGTAACAGCCTGGTGAAGCCATAAAAACTGTGCGCAGGGTCTCAAGATTATACTCAGTGAATGAAGTCATACACAGAAGATAACATATTGTACAATTCAGTTTATATGAAATATTCAGAATAGCTAAATGTGTAGAAACGTAATACGAAGTCATGGACGCCAGGAGGACAAAGAGTAGGTAAGTGGGAATAACTGCTTCCGGGGAAGGGGTTTTATTTTGGAGTAATGGAAATGTTTTGGAACTAGATAGAGAGGGTGGTTGCACAACATTCCAAATGTACTAAATGCCACTAAATTGTTCCCTCAACAATGGTTAATTTTATGCTGTGGGAATTTCACCCCCATTTAAAAAACAAAACACCTTCCAGCCCAAATTAGCAAAAAGTACACCTAGTACCCAGATGTTAGTTTCTGATACCATTCTTCATAAAAGTAATCAGGGCTCCTTGGAAAAATGCTACTTCTAGGACCGGAGAGGAAATACAAAAGATGGCCTTAGAGCATCTTAGAGTTACTGAAAATAACTAGTTCTGAGTTTGCTGAGGGGTTCCTGGAGATGACAAGGTCCGCATGAAATGTTCAAAGGAAGGGTTTTCTCCCTGATAGTTGCTGTTTCCCCGGCCCCTCAGAGAATATTCTGAATTCCGTGTTCAGTGTCACAGAGGAGGGAGGTTACTCAGAAAATGAACCAAGAGCATGAGTTTCACAAGTCCAGGCCCTGACAGCACGGGTGTAGAAAGACACACGGAAAATCTACACACACAGGAAAGGTTCCCTGGACAAGGGAGAAGGAAGAAGGGAAGAGGAGTTTTGGGGTCCCTAAGAAAGGGGGACCACAGAGCCCAGAGATATTTCGGAGACCTTGAGTCCAGAGGAAAGGGGCCAAGGAAAGCAGCCAGAACAACCAAGAGAAAACCTGGGTCCAGGTGGGTGATTGTGAGACAGCCACACCTCACAGCCACACCTCTGAGCTTCTGGGCCCCGAAAGGTGTGGCTGGAAGCAAAGGAATTTTCACGTGCCCAAGACCAGTGCCATCGAGGGAAGGAGCCTGAAGTCGTCCCTCCCACCAATGGCCCAGTCCCATGTAGCCTGGGCAGGCAAGACGGTGAGCAGAGAAAGGCAAGGAACCAGAGGGCTTTACAGTCGGAGGAAAACAGCTCCATGGTCGCCAAGCGTGGAGAGATGGCAAAGCACACAAATGACCCTCTACCTCGAGGGCACTGGCCAAAGCCGACAGCAACTTAGGCCTCGACCCAGAAAAAGACCAATGAAGAGAAACTTTGGATTGTGATAAAATCCCCACCACAGGCAGGATCGAGGCTCATGAAAGTCTCTGTCTTGGGTGTCAGCTCCCTCAGTAACCGCAGCTGGCCTCTGGAAACAGAAGGAGTNAGTCTCTGTCTTGGGAATGAACTGGTGTCAGCTCCCTCAGTAACCGCAGCTGGCCTCTGGAAACAGAAGGAGTTGTGAGGGAGGCCCTGCTGGAGGCCAGTACTCTACCGTGTATCATAAATCATGGAGGGACGCTCAGGGTCTGATACAGAGACCCTGTCCTGTAGTAGGAGGTTGAGGCCCACAGTAAACCATGCTGCAGGTTTGCTACTTGACTCTGGACTTTTTTTCAAATATGAACCACAAGCCCAGAATTGAAGGAAAAAAATCCCCAACCGGCAGACCCCAAGAGGTGTCTGGGCTACAGGGTACAACCGCCCTGCACTCTGGCCTTGCAAAGTCTCCCAGCCCTTGGTGAGTATAACACACACCTGAGATAAACTAAAGACTGGGAGGCACTTTCCCAGGGGAGAGCAGAATCCTATCCCACACCCAGAATTTTCCCACCTGCAAGTGAGTACAGTGCCCTGGCACATGGTAGATACTGAGCACAAAATGAGCGAGTGCAGTCTTCCTCAGGACCTTGAGGAAAGCTGGGCAGGTCTCAGCTTACTCCTATCCAGGCAGGAGAGAGCCTCTCCTCCAGCCATGGGAGCCCCTCACTCCCTGCCCATGACTTTAACAGGTACATCTCTCTACAGTCTGCAGGCACTCACATCCGTTATCCCATTAGAGACTCTGGGTAACCTTGGCTGGTACCTTGGGTGGTAACAGGGAGAGCAATGGCCCCATTGCAAGGCTAGGTAGCCCCACCACTTCTGATGCTGAAAGTCAGGACTCTGGTCCCAAAAACCACCCTCCCCCTCGTCTACCCCTTATGGCCTCTCTGGGCCCCACCCCCACCCCCAGGTTTCTAAGCTCAGCCAGGGAGCAAACAGCCCAAAACACCTTTCCCACTCAGCTGCTCTAGTGGCTTAAAGTCTTCCACACTGGCATCATCCTGAAGGTCTTCCTAAGAAAATACACCTTCTAAGAAGGGGTTTTCAAATTTTTCAAACTAATGATCTACTTCTTCAAATGAAAGCTTACAAACCTGATACATGAAACACATGACAAGACAGATGCTCTGGTTAGAAAGAGGGTGGGGACTGCACGTCTCTCCCATCTAGAATCACCTTCTAACCCCCGAAGCGAGAGCCTCTAAGGAACCTCTGTGCTCCGTAGAATTCAGGCACTGAGTTACCAGGAGGGAGGCCCCAGTGTGTGAACCTCCAGGAACCAGGGGCCAGAGTGCTGAGGGAAGTGAACATAGGACAGGGACCTTTGAGAGCAGCGTTAATAAACCAAAGAATGGAGGAAATTCACTGGAAGAAAGAGAGGGGCCTAGAAGGGAGAGCATGGAAGGCTCTCCCTCTTCCACACCCACAACAAAGTACCAGCATCCCCCAGCTGGTGGGCCAGGCCCAAAACACAGAAAGTCTCTCATTCCTCCACCCCTAGTCCTATGCCGAGACCAATGCTGTTGTCCTACTGGCTAAATCCCTATCAAATCCACCACCAAGACTCTGCTTCCACGCTGTCCCTCCCTATACATTCCACATAGCAGCCAGAATGGGCTTTTCAAAACATCAACCGAATCATCACTTACTGCTTAAAACTCTCCAACAGCTCCCCATCCCACTCAAGAAAATCCACAATCTTCACCCCAGCCCCCAAGGCTCTACCTGAGCTGACCCTGGGACTGGGCCTGGGCCTACAGTCTCCTCTCCTCCCCTCCCTGCTCAGCCACACGGGCAGGCTGAGCTGCTCAAGCCCCCACACTTCTTGCCTCCCGCAGGCAGTGGGCATGCAGAAGCCCTTCCCTCTCCCTCTCCCCTGGCTCTGCAGGAGTAGCTTCCTCCTATTCTTTAAGTAAACCTTGAAATCACCTCTGCTAAGAAGCCCTCCACTGCTCCCATCCTTGCTCTTCATTTCTTTCAAAACACTTATTTTATTTAAGAGACACTTTACTCATCTGTGTCTCTCTCTCACTATAAATTATAAGAAGAGAAACTGTGGCCACTGACACATTCCTGTACCTGGCATATGGTAGGTGCTTAATAAATATCGGAGGAATATGTGGATGGATGAATGGATAGATGGATGGAAGTTTGGACGGACGGGTGCATGGATGGATGGATAGATGGATAAAAGGATAGATGGATAGATGGGTGGGTGGATGGATGGATATTCGATAGATGGATAAAAGGATGGATGGATGTTCAGGTGAATGAGTGATGGATGGATAAACTTATCACAACTAATCCAGGCACCATTCACATCTGAGGACACAACACTGCTGAAANCATCTGAGGACACAACATTGCTGAAAACAACAGTAGAGGCAGGGGCCAGGGACATCAGATTTCCCATTTACATAAAAATATATTGTGCCCTGGACAGGTAGCTGAGTTGGTTAGAGCGCCGTCCCAACACGNATTGGTTACAGCGCCGTCCCAACACGCCAAAGTTGCAGGTTCGATCCTTTGTCAGGGCACATACGTGAATCAATCAATGAATGCATGAATAAGTGGGACAACAAATTGATGTTTCTCTCTCTCTCTCTCCCCCCTCTCCCTCCCTCCCTCCCTTTTCTCTCCCTTTCTGTCTTTCCCTAAAAAAATAAAATTTTCAAAAATTAAATTAAAATAAAGATATATTCCAAAGACAAATAATCCTTCTCTGTTTCTGAGAGCAGAGAACACTTCTAGGTAGTGCCTCAAAACAAACAAAACCTACTTTGAGGTGTTCAATCAGGTCAAACTGCTCTCCTTTCCAGAGTAAATTTATAATTCAGATATTTCACTAATTGACACTCACTTTCCCAAATAATCATTCCAAATGGTTGGCAACACCAAGCCAGATCTCACACAAATCAGGAATCTTGACAATATTCATATTCTTAAAATGTGTATGATGAATTATCACTTCTGGAGAGTTCCTAAGAAATAATCAGAGATGCAGAGACAGATATAAGGACAAAAGTGGTTACCACAACATTGGTTATATGGTGAAAATTTAGGAACAACCAAAATGTCCAACCATGCAGGATTTTTATTTTTTATAACAAACTCTTAGTGAGAAATATCCCACAGCTATTAAAGACATGCTTTCATAGAGTATGTAGTGTTAAAAACAAATGCTCACTAAAAAATCAGGATACAAGGTGATTTAACATATTATCCTAGGCGTGACTACTACATAAAGTAAATTAAAAGGCTGGCTGTNATAAATTAACTCAAAAGGCTGGCTGTGATTGTCGAATCGCAGGTGTAAGATTGCAAATGATTTTTATCCTTAATATCCTTTCCTAACTTTTATGGTGAACATGCCTGACTTTTGCCATCAGGAAGGAACGTTCTCATTTATACAATGAATCTGGCACCTACTCTGTGCCACTTGAGCAAAAACAAGGCAAGAATGCTTCCTGCCCTCATGAAACTTGTGAGGGAGATGACATTAAACAAATCAGCCAGCAAAAGCACACATGACTACAAATTCCAAGAAAGGACAAAAAGGAAAACTGCAGGATGGTGCTGAGGAAAACATTCGTGTGGGGGCAGCCTCACTTAGACGAGGTGCCGGGGAGGCCTCTCGGAGGAGGAGTTTCAGCTGAGAGCTGCAGAATGAGTGACTTAGGCCAAATGGACAGGACAGGGTTCCAAGCAATGAGAACAGAATGTGGGAAGGTCCTAAGGTGGGAACAAGGCAGGTACACCCAAACACTGAAAGAAAGCCCATAGCCAAAGAGACCAGCAAGCAGTGCTGAGGAGTGGGGATGCAGAGGAAGGCGGGAGTCCAACCACACAGAGAGGCCGCAGCCAGAGCAAGAGATAAACGTGTCATTCTGCACGCAGTGG